AAGCGTATTTTTTTTTTTCATTTTTATTGCAGAGGGCGGTGGAAGGAAAAAGACGAGGCACAGGGACACTATAGCGTTAGAAATACAGATTTGTATTCCTAATGCTATTGTGTTCCTTTAACCCCTTAAGGACCAAACTTCTGGAATAAAAGGGAATCATGACATGTCACACATGTCATGTGTCCTTAAGGGGTTAAGGGTGGGGAGTAAAACTAAATTGTCACCAACTAAAAAGGCAGATAGTGTTGAATTATTTATTAGCTCTAAAAGCTTTACATTCTGAAAGGCACTAAATGCCAATGATACATACTACAAAACCAAAATGATTAAAGCAGATGGCAGGTGGACATCCTGTCCCTGCTGTGTATACAGTGGTGGTGGTGGGAGGCAGACCCACATTGTCAGTGCCACATTTTACCTTCTGTGTGTTGTCCAGCAATGGTACAGATAAGATGACTCTTTAAAGGGACACTGTAGGCACTCAGACCACTTCAGCTCATTGAAGTGGTCTGGGTGCAATGTCCCATGTCCCATGTCCCTTAGCCACTAGAGCAGGGGTTCTCAACGTTAGTCCTCAGGACCCACTACCAGTCCAGGATTTAGGGATTACCTGGGTGTGTCTAAGGTGTCTAGAAAAAGAAAAAAAAACACCTTAGAGTCTAAGGTGTTTTTTTCACTTTTTCTGAACACCTGAGACACACCCAGGTAATCCCCAAATCCTGGACTGGTAGGGGGTCCTGAGGACTGGGTTGAGAACCCCTGCACTAGAGGGACTTTCTGAATTGAAACGGATCTTTGGTCCGGTATCTGACGCTGGACGTCCTCACGCTCTGCATGAGGACTTCCAGCGTCAGATTTTTTCCCCATAGGAAAGCACTGAAGAATGCTTTCCTATGGGGAAAATGTAATGGCATGCCGTGCATGCACATAAGGCCTCCCTCACCAACTTCAGCACGGAGTATGGTCGGAGTCTGACCCAGTGCCGAGGGACATCAGAGCTGGATTCAGGTAAGTGACTGAAGGGGTTTTAACCCCTTCAGCACCGCAGAACGAGGGGCGAGGGAGATGGCACTGCAGGAGCCTATAGTGCCTGGAAAACGACTTTGCTTTCCTGTCACTATAGAATCAATTTAAGCCCCACCTTGCAGTTTAGATTAGAAAGTAATTCATGAAAACTGCAATATGAGGCTCTAACAAAGACTCCTCCCTTGTGTTTCACCATACATTTCTTGTACAAAGCAATACTTGTTAACCCACACAAATACTAAGCTGAGCATCCTAAGAATTGTAATTAACAAAAGCTAAAATGCCAAATGCTAACCAACACTGCACAGCATTAGACAGTCACTGCTCACTAAACTAACATAATGGGGCATTGGAAACTGGTAAATGGATGAATAACTCAGACAAATCCACACAGATTAATAACAAAATATAAACGAAGTAGAGGGATAATTAACTTCAAATCTAATTGCACTCAGGAGGAAAGGGAATCACTCCCAGGAACTCCAGTCAGCAAATAAGTTAACTCTTTATTGGTTAGTATCCCATGTACCACACTAATAGGATTGTATAGTTTGCAGAGCAGAATTGAATTAACGTAGCGGAAAACAGGAAATCCAAATCGCTGTGTAAGGTACATAATAGTGAATTGTATAGTTTAGGGTTGTATAGTTTGCAGAGCAGAATTTAATTAATGTAGCAGAGAATCAGGACAATCTAAATTGTTGTGTAAAGTAACATAATAGTGAATTGTACCCAACCTGTGATTCAAGCAGGAAGGCCAAGTTAAAATGTCTAATATTTCAATGTGGAAAACAAATGCAACATTAATAACTACAATAACAAAAATGTAACAGAAAGGTCAAAATCAATTCTAAACAAAATAGCATAAAACACATTATTAAAAGGGTGCTCTAAGCACTATAATCACTACGGGGATATGTAGTGGTTATAGTGCCAGGAGTCCCCTGATTTCTATTGTTATAGTAAAATTATTATAAAATTGTTTGACACTTACACGGGTCCCCTGAGTGCCCATTGCCTAGTTCCTTTTCATATATATTGCTAAATAGTAAATATCTATTCTGCTTTAGCAATATATATTTTGTCCATCTTTGGAAGTATATATACAGACACTCACCGGCTGGGTTCCGTTTTTACGACTCGCTCACTAGTGCGAGCAGTTGTAAAACAATTAGGTCGTAAAGTAAGGACCATCTGTACATAATTATATAATGTGCATAATATAAATAATTATTCATAGGCAAAATGTATAAACAAACATGAATTCCGGACATTATATTTCTAATAGTGCCGTTAAGGTCTCCCGTTTAAAAAGATGTTTTACTTCCCTTTTTTCCAGCTCTGCGCAAGTCTCGCCGTGGCTGGCTCCATCCTGCCTCCTTGGCTGAGATCATCAAACGTGCTAATCTCAAAAAAGCCAATGCTTTCCCGTGAGAAAGCATTGGGAGGCTATTGCGCATGCACGACAAAACGCTGCACTGCTTCAATCAGCATCTCTTCATAGAAATGCATTAATTCAATGCATCTCTATGAAAAATGTTCAGCCCCTTCATGCAAAGCGTGGAGAGGCTGAGGGTCAGTGCTGCACATTGTGTAGCAGTGACCCAGGAATCACCTCTGAAAAGGCAGTGTTTACATTAAAAAGCCTCAAAGGATAGGCTATAGACACCAGAACCACTACATTAAGCTATAGTGGTTCTGGTGACTATAGTGTTCCTTTAACCCCTTAAGGACACATGAAATGTGTGACATGTCATGATTCCCTTTTATTATAGAAGTTTGGTCCTTAAGAGGTTAATTTTCCGTTCAAGCTCTCAGGGACCTTCGATAACCATGCCCTGTAATTCATTACATATTCTTAAACCTGATATAAGCATGGCATTATTCCCCCCTCTCTATGTGTAGGGTCAGATCCCTTTACATAATGGACTGGAGGACGTATATTAAGATAGTTACTAATCAGGTGGCAGTCATGGTGTAGTTGCCATTGTCTGTGCATGTTTGAACTTAAACGTTCATATTGTCTAAGCAAGGAAATTGGACTCTAGCCTGATCAACAGTCAGGCAGCAATCTGTTTAAAATCGAATACATCTGCCACTTCACATTTACATAGGGAGAGACTCACTAAGTTCCAAATTGTAGAAAATTAATTGAAAGGTGAATTGCCAAATTGAGCCTAAAATAGACATGTTGTGACTATAGCGGAGTTAGAGAATGTTTCCAAATCTGCTGTTTTTGCCTCAATTTTGCCATTCACTGCAATTTGGAGTTTAGTGAAGAAATCCTAAAAGCAAGGTAGTTTGCAGAAGTGTAAATAGTCGCAAATTTAAAGTGAATCCAAAATAAATGTTGAATTTTAGAACAAAATAGACAATATGTTGGAAAAAATCCCTGTCATTCAATGTTTCAGTTGAGTTATTTTGAATTAAAAAGTAAAACGTTAGCAAATAGTCTTTTTCCTCTACAAGCCACTAAAGATATATTAAACATTTAGGTGTATTGTAAAGTTTTACAATGAGAAGTGGATTGTGGGATATTGGCAACCATCTTGAAAATTACAGGCTAAAATATTAGTACTGGAAATAGGAAATGAAATACTGATTTTTTTTATTTTTTTTATCTAACTTAAAACTCACATGGTTTGTTATGCTCAAGTTGCTGTTTAGTGAATAGACCCTATCATGTCACTTGTATGTGTATTTTCAGGACTGCATTAATGTCATTGTCACCCAGCAAAAAGCATATCTATTCAATGCATGTATTTTCCTGCAGTAGTGCAGAGTGACAGGAGATGCTAACAAACTGCACTACTCTGTGTTAACATAAAAACCAGGAATTTCGTGAGAGGAAAAAAAATTGGGGGGCTGTTTACATTCATTTCACCACAAGCATTAAAACGTTCTGCCAATTTATAAAATAAAAAGAATAATTGCTACCAATGCCAAACACCAGGTGTGTTAATATTAGTATATCTTTATTTGTTAATCTGCTCGAAGCAATTTGTTTCGAAATGTCCGTTTTGATACCGAATGTTACAAGTAGTGACAAGTCACGTTGCCAGGAATGTTGGGAATAAATGTGTATTCCAAGGTTCTAAGCGCACAGTGCAATGTGTCTGAGAATGGAGACTGTGCATTGTCAAGCCATTCTGCACTGTACAATAGCTACCGCAAGGGGTGTTGGATGCCCTGCCAGTTCCATCATTTAAAATTGAAAGTCATTAAGAGAAAGAAATATGTAAAGGGCTTTAATGCTGCAGGTTTTTTTTTTGTTTTGTTTCCTGCTACCCCTGGAGAAGGAATAAGGCTGGAGCTTGTGAATGGTGCTGAGTTGAGCTTGGTACATCTCCCTGGCCGCTTGCTCAACACAGAGGCATCTCCATAGCATGGGGGAGGGAGAGGAGGGTGGGCGGCTGTATACTGAATCCTCACTCTCCAGCAGCTCTGAGCTGTCCAAATCACAGAAATAGACACAACGGGAGGGGGCATGGAGACAGATCCATCATTGTATCAGCATCCAGAGGACTACAAGATGCAAAGAAAATGATCCTCAACAGGTAAGTGAATTCTCACTGATTTCCAATGCTCATATGTTATGCAGTCATTGAATGTATATGAGAAAATGAAATCCCAGGTATCCCCCCCCCCACCCCCCAAAAGATAATAGGTACCTTTACCTGTAGGATGCACATAGATGTATATGTAGAGAGGTAAATGCATTGCTGAGCATAGTCATTTCAGCATTGTCCTTACTAGTCTGAATTAAATCTGCATCTGTTAAGGAATGACTGTATGCTCACTGCTGTGAAATCTGCTGTCTTAATTTCTGTATTCATATCATAGGCCTCTTTGTGAAAGAAATAAGCCCATGGTTACAGCCAGCATGTGAGGTCTATTGTGGATGCTGCTGAATGTAATACCTGCATAAATGGATGTTGTTCACACCAGACACCCACTCTTAGAATGCCCTGGAGCTGGTGAGAAGATCTACTTAACACAGCTATCAACTGCAAACTCTGCCACCCCAGGTATAATCATAACCGGAGTAACCACAAGGCTACCTAAGGTGGCTGCCTAGAGCCCAGGTGTGAGACAGGGGCTCTGGCATCATGATGATACATGGCCAAACTTGGCCCCATTCACCACCAAGATCCTACATGTGAGAGGGGGCCCCAAACTGGTAACCTTACTAGGGCCCTGTGGGAGCTTAACCCTTCTCTGATTTTCATCGGAGGTTGAAGCCAACATGCAGAGGTTGAGTGAGCGCAGGGCCACGACCAACCACAGTCACTATGCAGACCATGGACCTCACTCTATGCCTGACACCATTCTCAGGATTTCTCTCATCATCTCCCTCCTCTGCCTCTCTCTCTTTGGGAACATCATGCTCCTGGTAGTTTTCCATCGTAAACCCCAGTTGCTTCAGGTGGCCAACAGATTTATCTTCAACCTCCTGGTGGCTGATCTTCTGCAGACTGTTCTTGTGATGCCCTGCGTCATTGTTACCTCTCTACCTGATATCTGGCCTTTGGAACATGGTCTCTGTGGGGCAGTGGTGGTCCTGATGCATCTCTTTGCCTTTGCAGGAGTAAACACAATCACCGTGGTTTCCGTTGACAAATACTTGGCCATCATCCATCCCTTGTCTTATCCCACCAAGATGACCCCAAAACGAGGTAGCCTGCTCATCTCTTGCACTTGGCTCTTCAGTGTACTTCAGAGCACCCCTCCACTCTATGGATGGGGTAAAATTGAATTTGATCTCCACAACCACTACTGCAAAGTATTGTGGGCTTCAAGTTACTCATACACAGTACTCAGTGCATTGTTTTCTTTTATCCTACCAGTGAGCATTATGTTGGCGTGCTATGGAATGGTTTTCAGGGCAGCCAGGAGGCAAAATGCATTAGTGCACCCAGTCCAAGCAAATGGATGTGACAGGTCTGATGGGACAAGATCCACTGCACTAAGCACACTTGACAAAACACATCATCACCGACCTTTGTACCATTGCAAAGCAGCCAAGGTTATTTTTGCTATTTTGTCATCCTATATCATAAGTATGGGCCCTTACAGCGTTCTGAGTATAGTCGCATCCAGCGCCAATTTAGTAATTCCAAGATGGGTGACATCGCTTGTTCTGGTGCTATTTTTCTTGCAATGTTGTATACATCCTTACATATATGGGTACATGCACAAAAGCTTGAAAAAGGAATTTATCCTGCTCTTGCATGGCTTCTTTTGTAAGCAAGTGCACCCGCAAAATGCCACCGTAGACAGCTATATCATCCTGACAGATGGCAGAATATTTCAATCTCATTTCTCCACTGGGCCCACAGTAAAATTCTTAGAAGAAGAGACCACAATTTCTGTAATCACTGGAAAAAGTATGAACAATCTTAAAATAAAAGACAATAAAAAAGAAAGTAATTCAACCAATATATCACCAGAAAAAGAGAGAAGTCCTCAAAAAATGGATCATGATATACCGCATCTCATTAGCTGTTAATATGTTTAATGGTGAAAGTTTATATATAGATGTATTAAGGCTAAATATATATATATATATATATATATATATATATATATTGAGGTTGCCTGCACTTAGAAATGGGGAGCAGCAGTTGAAGTGGGTGTAAAATTTATGGCACTGTCTTGAAGTCAGGAGTGTTCAAAATGTAGACATCCAGATTTGTATAGAACCACAAGTCCCATAATGCTTTGCTAGCCTTAGGTTCTATGCACAGCTAAGAAATCTGCCTTTTTTACCACCCCAGTGAAAAGGGTTTAACAATGTGTCAAAGTCTAGGGGAAAATTCTGTTTGTCTCTTATTACTGGTGATGTAGATTTATAGAATATTTTTATTCCATTAAATAGAAAATAAGAGCTGACAGCACCTCGAATTTACAATTAGGGACCTGATATTCTTGAAATTGATTGACAGACAATTGTAGGGAATCTGTTGATGTTTTATTTATTTATTCGTGTATGTATATTTTTGGTTAATTCTTTAATTTAATTTTTTTAACCCCTTACAGTGCACTTTAAACCATTTATTTATTCTTTTGTATTTTCAATGGATTGTGGAAAATTAATTCATATTTATGGGGCTATTCTCTAAACCAGGGGTAGGCAACCTTCAGCACCCCAGATGTGGACTACATCTCCCCTGATGCTTTGCCAGCATTATGGCTTTTAGAGCATTATAAGAAATGTAGTCCACAACATCTGGAGTGTCAAAGGTTACTTGCTCCTGCCTCTAAACTGACAAGACTTACTAATTAGCAAGAGAATTAAAAATTATAGGCCAAAATAGTCAAATTGGAAAAATTCTCTAAGATATATGTCCAACCTGACCTTTTTTCTTCCTAATCAACTGTTAATATTTCACAGTTTAGCGAATAACCTTATTAGAATAGAAATACATATCATCCTCAGCCTAAGTTACTATTGATCCATTGAATCTTATTTTTCTGATTTTTTTTTTTTTTAATAGATATATAGAATTGTCTCATGAATGTTTTTAACTAAGCTGCTGGTCTATGGCAGTGCCAGCTATGTTTGTGTCAATTTTAGCCGTGGGAGAAGATTGCTAAGAGATTCAATTTATTCACTAAACAGTGTACTGTGTGGATCTGAAAATATATATTAGAACCCCCTAAAGCTTCAGTATCCGGTGTCACAACCCATTGTGCTGATATAATTTAAACATCAGTATACCGTATGGCAAGAGAATGCATAGTTGATCACTTCTGCAGAGATCAGTGTCAGATATTTTTACACACTCCAAAAGCAATCTTCTCACCGCTGTCAGACTAATTAGTGATGTCACCATGCATGGTGGTTTAACAACCGCAGTTTTAAAGTGGGCATAATGAAAATCTTTGAGAGTGTCAGGGACGAGAGAATAAAACAAGTAATGAGGTTGAGTATTTTAACTTAAAAATGCAATAATCTCATAGGTAGCATTTTTCTAACATAATTAAAATTAAGGTTATCTTAAAATTAAGTTGATAGTACGCATTTTAATGATAGATTCTTCTTTTCTATGAGAAGTGTGTGCCCAATGTGATACTTGACACAGCACTAAAATAATTTTAAAAATCATTTTCTTTTTGTGTACTTTCTAAGAACCATTATACCTAGACTATTATCCTAAATGCAGGGTGTAAGCTATTTTATTAAATCCTTTTTTAACTATTTCCTTCTTGACTGTTCATTTACCATAGATGGGGACATGTATAAAGCACCAAATGTCAAGCCACAGGCACAAAAAGGGTTAAAGTGAAAGCTCAACATTAATGTATGCCCAAGTTCTAGTGTTCCTCTATAGCAGTGAGGCCTTAATCGGTGCAATCCATCAATCTTAGATGATGATTCCAGTGATACTATGCCAACCAAGCAGCTGGATGGACATTGTAGGGAATATGGACCACAGAAGTTAAAGTGCCGCAGGCTAGATCACTTCGCCACAGCCATGCCCTTCAACATCTGCTACTGTAACTACCAATTATTGAATAGTTAGCAAATTTGTTTTTATATGCACTTTATACTTAATAAAAATCATAGAGTTTAACTACAGGGTATAGACAATATATATTAAAGCGTTCCAGAATTCCAGAATTTTTTTTATTTTATTTTTTTTGTGTTTTTATTTTAGAAAAATTCCATCAGTTAAAAATTCATTCAAATGTTTTAACATCAGATGAAACTTTGGGTAAAAACATGGAGAAATCATTGATATTTTTTTTTGCTAAGGTGTGAATTTTCAGAAATTCAGGGTGACCTCCAAATGTTACGGTAACATAGCCAAATTGGAAATATTCTCTACATCGGCTGTTTTCATTTTGCCTATTTTTGGTTGGAAAAAATTGAGATTCACTTTAAATTCCTGACAATTCACACTCTAGTGAATAACTCTGTAAGGGTGTCTGCAGGGTGTTTATACTGACTTCTTTAACATCAAATGTTAGAAGTGATTTCCAGGAAGATTTTCAAGCTGGCTACAAAGTCAACTTGGAACTACAAAGTGACTATTCTAAAACACCAACATGAAATGACTAATATGAAAAATCTAACTTTTTGATTTTTATAAAAATGAGCCAAAAAAGAGACATACACCTGCTAGTCTAACCAAAACACCATGGAAGGTTCCAAAACAGCTCCAGAAAATCACAATGATTAATGTAATGCTGTAAGCTCTGTAATAACTTTGGACTTGCTGTGAAGATGGGCATGCATTATTAAACAGTGTATTCTTTAATGATTGTCTGAGCACATCTCTTTCAAATAAAATTCAAATTTATTAATGTCATGCAAGACGAAATATCAGCATTTACTGACTTTGAAAGTTTTTTTGGGTGGTCACTGGTGTGTTTCTATGTAATGATTTAGTTTTGCGTCCTCCAGATTCCTGATATAAGATATGAAAGATTTAAAGCAGTAGGCTCCAAAATGCCATAGTATGTATCTACACGTGCTATGCTTCAATAAACATGTACTTTATTTGAAAAAGAGGTGCCCAAACAATCATTTAATAATCCCAGTCACTATTATTTTCAGCCAACTTTTATTTAAAAGTCACTTCTGAAAATGTCATATGAATTTAGTTCACAATTGTCACTGCAGGTGAGGACCCTAGCACACAAACCTACATAGGAACAGACAGCAAGAATAGTCTGTATTACCAGTTCTTAGAGTGGACGGACTTAATGGCAAGGCTAGTCAAAGAAGAAGCCAAGGTCAAGAGCAGGAGTAAACAGGATAAACAGAATAGACAAGGTAAAGGTCTGGAGTATCAGGATAAACAGGTAAACAAAAGCCAAGGTCAACCACAATATCAGAACACCATAGAAACATGCTGTTGGGTCAGCAAAGGCCACAACAGGGTACCTAGCTAGATGCAGAATGCTTTTAAATACACAAAGGTAAATGCCTATTGGGTTGCATCATTCACATGCAGCAAAAGCATGTGAGCAACGTTGAGCAGGCTTCATGTCACCATTGACCCTAGAAATATGCAACCGACCATTAGTATGGGTGTTCCAAGTTGTGTCAATAATGATACTGGGAAGATGAGACCCATCACATACCATGCTGATTGACAAAATTGAGACTGATGACCTCAGCAAGGGAGGCAGAGTGGCAGCATGGAGATCAGAGTGCCATGGGATGTAAGGTAAGTAAATGTTACCTTTGGGTGGGGACACCTACATCGGTTGGGGAACGCTACAGTGTTAAAAATACATGTTTGTATTCCTAGCACTATAGTGCTCCTTTAATATACAGGTACTCCTCACTTACCGACTGGGTTCCGTTCCTACGACCTGGTTGTAGAATGAATTGGTCGGTAAGTGAGGAGTTAAGGGATTCCCTGCTTGGTGCGTTTGTCTATGTTCTGGGAAATTTTCCCCAACATAGACGAATGCACCAGAGTAGGGAATCCCTCTAATCTATGTTCGGGCAAATTTTCCCGAACATAGATTAGAGGGAATCCCTGCTCTTTTGCATTCGTCTATGTTCAAAGAAATGTCCCCGAACATAGACAAATGCAGCAGATCAGGGAATCCCTCTAATTCCCAAGACAGCTTGCACTTACCACCACGCAAGAAAGCTGGTCGTAAGTGCGAGCTGTCGTAAAACAGGTAGGTCGCAAAACAAGGACCACCTGTACTTTGTTTAACAGCTCTGTCACTTCTCCATATTTCCATATTTCATAAAGATAGAATCTCCATATTTCATAAAGATAGAATCTTTATGAAATATTGATGCCAACTTTGTTGGAATTTCATTGAAATTCCCAGCACAATCCAAAGATACCATAAGACAAAGTAGAGACTACAGTGTCTTATGGTTAATTTAAGGTTGATAAAATGTGGACCTTTTGTCCAATTCCAGTAGGTGTCACAAGTGATGACTGTTGGATTCATTCATGGTCTCGCTCATTTCGAAAAGTAATGTATGGAGGCTCCTATGATCTTGTGAGATCTTTTTTTTCCCTCCCTTTATCACCCACCCTCTAATGAAAATCAAATTGAAGCTTGGCCAATTTCGTTTGCTCTACTGAAAAGACAGTCCACATTCTTTAAAATGTATGTCTTTGTGCAAGACAACTTTACATATATTTCTAAAGGAAGGTGTCATGGATGTCAATGTTTGCATATTGTCAAGATCAGTGGCTTCCTACCCTAAACTCAAGGCACAACACTGTTCCAGATTTTGTCAGTATCGCCATTGGTTGGTGACCACTGATGTAGATTCACCTGCTAAGTTCAGAGGTATAATGCCAATTTGAGCATTTGGATGCATTCTATTACACCAGATTTATAGTGTCCAACATGCAACATGCAGCTCTGTAGAAAAGAAAGTGGTGATAGTTTTTAGTGCAACTGGTCTTTGGTATAAATAATGACAAGCTGATAATTCAGGTTTTTTTTTTCTTTTTTTCTTTTTTTGTTACCATGTATGGACAAACATGGATCTTCCTGCCTTTAAATTTCTTTTTGATGTATAACACCCTGTGATACTTTTGAAGCACATACCTCTTTACAAATTCAGACCCTCCTATGTGCTGAGTAACATATTTATAAAATGAGCCCTACAGCGCTATTCACTGATCTCAGAAATTCCACAAAATGAATTCTGAATGGCAAAATGGAAGCAGAAATAGCCATCTTGCGACTACAGATGAATTGCAGGATTTTTCTACATTAGGATATGTATGCTTTAATTTTGCCATCCAAAATAAATTCTAAAAAATTTGGAATTTAGTGAATAACCTTGCTAGCCTTTTTTAAAAAAAAATTACAGTCCAAAAATCATGTAAACTATCTTTGAATTACCAGACAAATATACTTTTCTTTTAGATTAGAATCCATCCCTATGAGGTTTATTTACTAAACAGAGAATTGAAAGGAATTGAAAATTACAAAATTTAAGCTATACTAATACAGTTGTGATTATAGTCATATGGGCAAATAACATATGAAATGCTATTGATGAAACAAAATAAAATCAATTTGTTTCATTTTTCAATGTTATATCAACAAATGTTTTAATGCTTTGCAATGTTTTGGATTTTTTTTACATGTATTTTGATAGGTTGTTATTATCTGGTGCTAATTGTGTCATGTTCTCAAATTCAGACTTTTCTATAACTCCAATTGTAGAAATGAAGAAACTGGGAAACCGACTATTGAGACAATGTTTAGAGTAAATGTCTTATTTTTCAAGTGAAGTGGTGCTTTTACGCCAAAGGGTTCTTCACCTTTCTGAGATTAAAATGGTTTGAGATTGTAAATCACAGATTTCTTAAAAGTTTGTTTTCTGAGATTAAAATGTTACATGTGTGCTGATTTATAAATAGATGAATGTTTATATAATATTATAGACAAAGTATATCATCTATATCCGAGACCCTTGAAGGGATTTGAAGTGATCATGGTGCCTGGAGCTGTATGTGTAGATTTTCACTTTGAAACACTGCACATATAGAGTTTAACTCATTTGCTGCTGGAGTTGTAACTCCACCTCTATCAGTGTCATTGGAGTGTCATCAGATCAAGATTTCTATGCACAGAATTGGCCACGAGTGGTCAGCTGACATTCTCGGGTAATGAGTGGAGAAAGCCTTTGGCATCTGGCTTTTGCAGCTGTGCAGAAGCCTAATGCTTGTCATTAGTGTAGGAAGGACCCCGTGGCCCCCAGCGAGGGGACCCATGTAAGAGGGAAAACAACAACTAAACAGTTTGCCCCATTTCTTGGGAACTGCGCCATGGTACTACTAGCATCTTAACAACCAGTGACATAATTACCACAATCTCAGGGGTCACAGCTGCGACCAGGCCCGTCACTTCAGGGGGCCTAGCCACCCTGTCAACCCCTGCGACCGTGGACTGGCATAACTTGAGGGCCCGTGCATTGCTGGCCCGAGACGTGCAGTGGCCAGGTTACCGGCAGGAGTGGAGATAACAGCACAGCGCTCCCCTACACCAGTTACTGCTTGTAGCATGGCCAAACAGACTCGGTCTGCAGGGAAGGGAGAGACACATGGAGAGGGTGGGGGGGGGAGAGACACATGGGTGGCTG